GGGGCAATCAGATAAGTCACACTAAGCCCCAATGCTCTCAATGAAAGCTACCTGTTTTTAGGTAAAATCCAGCATATCCTCTGGGATCCTCAAGTCTTGGCTCTCGACAATTTTTACTAAATCGATCGATTTCAAGATCCTCTCATCTCATTTTCAAACACTTCATGCCCTTACTCCTCCCTACCTATCCATCCTGCTTACTCCCCACTCCACCATCCACTGCCTCCACTCGGCTGGCTCCAGCCTCCTATTTGTCCCTCATGCCTTCTGTTCGACCATTGGTGGCCATGGCTTCAGCCACTACGTCCAAAACTCTGGAACTCTCTCCCTCAATTCCTCCGCCTTGCCCCCTCCCTCCCCATCTACAAATCCTGCCTAAAGCCCTTCCTTTTCGATCGTCCTCACGGACACCTCCACCCTCCCTCTCCCCCAGGCTTATTGTCAGGCTGTAACACTGTGAAGCGCTCCAGGAAGCTACCCCATGTGAATGGCACTATGTAAATGAGTTGTTGTTAATACTCTCCTGAATGCTGAAGCAGGGTGCGTCTCCGGGCAACAAGGAAATTGCCATGTTTAGGTGACATACAGAAGTGGAACTCTCAGTGAAGAAGTGGGATAAAGGGTGGGTGCATTTGGCGCCATTATGGTATAAACACGGTGGCTGTGGTTCATCTAGGACTCCTGTATGCTGTTCAAAGTTGATTGGGCAGCGAACTTTGAGGGTGACTGAAGGCATGGTTGAAGAGGAGGGTCTTGAGACTGATATTGAAGGAGGCAAGGGAGGGGGATGAGGCAGAGGGACTGCAGGGCGGAGTTCCAGAGGGTGGGGGCAGAGTGGCTGAAGCAGAGTGGGAACAATCTCTTTATGCCCATCCAAGTCCTGTTGACAACCCCCGGCTGGCTAGTCTGTTATCCACAATGCCCTGGCTCAGAAACCAGACCGCTCAGGACTCTCAGAGGTTTGCTTCGAATCCAACATTCTGTTGTCAAGTAGATCACCTTGAAACCAGCTCAGTTCCAAGGAGATTCCACTTACCTCTCCCCCTAAGGAGGATAGTCATTAATTGGCTATTTCACCAAAGGACAAAATAAGGCTTGTACTCTCACTTGAAAAGACACATCAAATAAAGTCCAGTATAAACAATATTAAAAGCAGCTTCTTCAGTTTCCATTTGTGGATAAACAAAGCTATTATGCAAGACAATGAAATCATGCAGAACTGTTTCAAATTCTGGAAGATTTGTTTCATTTTTGATACCAGCGACACAACTGGGCAATTGAATTTTATAAAAACATCTCTTATCTTGTAGATAAGCAACTGGTAAATGTTATCAAAATACAGTGTTTTTAAATGGTTAGATACCACAGTAAACATGGAAATAGAAACTATATTACCAGAACAATATTTATAACAGTAGTGTTGTTTTAGCTGTTAATTGAAGAAGCATAACTGTAATATTCAGCTTTCAACTTTCGATTTAACCACAGACAGCGCGATTGCTGTTTAGTATTTATTTTATTTATTTCTTATAGCCCCAGATCTTAGTGACCCAAATGTTTTCTCGTTTGCCTCAGTCTCTTCACACTCTGCTTCGCTATCCCACTCTCCCATGGCACCTATTCCCCTCAGCCACTCAGTTCTACCAGCAGCCCCTCCAGCTATGCCTTCGGCAGCTCTCTCCATCCTCACCTTTCACCACCATCTTCTAGCACAGGGGTGGCCAAGCTTTTTGGTCGGCTAACAAAATAAATTTTCTTGATTTACTATTTCTTCATTTACGGCCGAGCCATGGGCACCACTGCTTGTTAGTGACTGGAAATAAGTATTGATTTGGACCGGACTCGCCTAGACTGGTGCAAATGTTCGGTGGGTCACCTCTGGTCAATGGGTTGGCCCCACTGTCCTAGCACTATTCTCCAGGCTGACTGAGCTTACATTTAGTACCTTCAGGTCCCAGGGAAGCATCTGAGACGTAGAAAACAATAAAGGCGCAACAGAATCACTGAAAGGCAGGAAGAAGTCAGGTATGATAGGGAAGTATAGGTGAAGAATACAGAAATGTTGAAGGCAAACATATGAGGTACCAGTTAACTATCAGCAACTTTAAATGAACTAACGCACTGGAATGGAACCGAGGGACATGCTGGGAGAAAAATCCAGTAATCTGAAAACAGTAGTTTTCATTAACTGATTATCATTAACTGATAATTATCATTAACTGATAACTTCAAACTTTACTCCGATCAGTGGCAAGATTAACTGAACAGTTGGGTGAGATAGATGGAAAGGTGTTGGGAAGTCAGATGAAGATAGGAAACAAAAGCCTCTGTGAAACTGACACTAAACTGCATAAAGATATGGGTGGCTGGCATTCTGGAGTACTGAGAAGCAAACTGTTTTAGAAACTGGCAGCAATACTCAAAGGGAACAGGAACATACTAATGGTACTGTTCTCCTTAAGAGTGTGAGGTAAAGCTGTTTTTTGAACTGTCTATTTAATTGAACAAAAATATCAAAATAGCTCAAAGTAATGAGATCTAGCAGGACTGCACACTCTGCTACCACAAACTACAACATGAATGAACCCATGAGAAACAAGATACTAAAAGAAGTGAGGCTGAAAGTATAGCCCCAAGCCAATATTCTCACAAAATACTTGGTTGCTACTTGCCATGACTTACAAAATATTATGAGAAAATGGGAGCTCAACATCAACTTCCCAAGACTAGGATTACACATTATAATATGAAAAGCAAACTATGATAAAAATGGTCATTTTGGTTGGAAGTACCCGATAGTAAACTGATGAGTTTACATACCTGGGAAGTTGTATGGACAGTGAGCATGAAGCTATGGCTAGCCAAGCGCTCTGGGATGCAATCCTGCATGAGGGGAGTTATATAAATGCAAGCTGTTCTTGTTGAGGCGAGAAAGAAATTAAGGCATTTCCTAGTCTGAGTGCTTTTGATGGACATATATTAGTTAACCAGTCTGATTGAGAGATCAGCGCATTGAAAAAGGAGTAGCAAGCTTGTATTCAACAATATCCCTGTATAGAACTAGGACCTGGACTGTGACAAAACAGAGCTCGATGTTTTTTGGAACGCTCTATAAGGGAGTATGTTGGGTATCAGCTTGGAGCACAAAATTACCCATACTCAAATAATGAATGGCCTGCATGCAGTAACTGAAAAGTTAAAACCGAAAGGGAGGGCGTGTGCACTGTATTAGCTGAAGATCTGTACTCCCAGACAGTGATGGATTGGTTTGCAGCTGGGAAAGGCAAACCTGAGGTAGGGGAACCATGTATTGAAGACATGAAAGGAAGAGTGACAACAGTCAGGCAGCTGCATTAGCTAGTAACGGAGAGATTGAAATGGCGAGATCTTGTGGTGTCTACAGCTAGCCTGGCTTTGGTAACCTAACTTGGCAGCAGCAAAGATTTCAAAAATAGATTATATTATATTTCTCCCACAATTTCCAAGCAATTTATTCTAAATAAAATGAGATCCAAGGGCATAAATCAACCTCAGCGCTCAAATGATGTTGATAACCCAATAAGCTTTTAATGTTATCCTATTTATAACACATACAGTACTGTTTTAGTTTTGTGGGACAATTTTATTCAGTTTTGGATAGGTTTCGTACTCGCAGCAGCTGTCAGTGTGAATGCCAACAGACAGTGCATTTTCTCTAGTTTCTATTTTAGTTTACAGTCAACACTTTCAAGTGTTACAATCTGTAGTCATATCTACTCTTTGTAAAAATATTTGCTTGCAAAATACATAGTCACTACACTTTACAGTACATTTCCACCACATAAGGTGCAATATTAAATGCAAGAATTATTCTAAATATTCTGTAACATCACTTTTCACTGAGAAGCAAAATTATATTTTAAAACGGAATTTAAAAATGTTAATAAAGAATATCTGAACTAACAAACAGTTAAGTTCTACGGTTAAAATACTTTTCATCAATTACAATTCAGGACAATGACTACTGCTAACTTAATGTATGAACAGCAGACTTTAGTTTTTTGGAATATACGAAATTTAAAACAATTGGGTGTATTTGTTCAATACAATATTAGCTAAACAATTTGGAGTGAATTACCAACAAATGTAACAAGTTACAGGACCTTGCTTTAATGTCTCATCCAAAAAGACAGCAGTGCTGACAATGCAACACCCCCCAGCATTGCATTGCAGTGTCAACTTAAGACTGTGTAAGTCCGAGTCACGACATGGGGCTTGAACCCACAATCTTCTGACTCACGAAGCGAGAGCACAACCACTGAACCAGGTTGATACATTGGACATGGATGCAAGTGCACGATTTTAGTCAAACAAATAATTGTTATGGTACTAACTGGCACAAATTCTGAGTAGATTAGTAACAGCAGGCCACCCAAGATAATAAAACACTAAAAAAAAACCTTGCACATATATAGCATATTTCACACAGGCTAACATCCCACCTTACAGAGAGTGAGTAACAGCAGAAAAATACAAACATTGTTGGAAGTGCATTCAACAAGTAGGTGTCTAGAACGTTTTTGTAAGCAGAGAGGAAGGGCATGAGGTATAGGGATTTGGGGAGAGGTTTCCAGAGAATGAGGCAACATGTCTGAAAGATAACCCTCAAGGAGTTGACAAAAGACACACATGAAGGTTTGGGCTACATTGGGTCAACAAGAAACAGAGGCAGGCGATGTTGTGGAGCTGGAGAAAAGAGGAGTTTAAAGATGAAAGGCTTAATGAGAACTGGGGGTAGAACAAAATAACAAGGTTGCACATGAGTTAGAGTGAGTATCTTGGGAGCTATAGAGCCAGAGGTGCGGAGGCACTCGAGGGAGCCAAGCAGGATGGCTTCAGTTTTGTTGACATTCAGTTGAACAAACATTATCCAGAATCTTAAATTACACCTAACCCCAATGAAGAGGCCATTTAATGTATGGAGTTGAAAACATGGAGGCAAAAAAAGAACACTCAAGAAAAATGACAAAATAATTTATTTGAAGACTAAGAAAATAATGTACAGGTCAAATAACTGAGCTTAAATTTTAAATTGAATATACAAATATTTACATTATTTCCACTATAGTCATAGCTGGCAAGTGAAAATTAACAGAAATAAATTAAAACATCTGCCTGTGCAATTTCTGCAAAGTGACTCAATATTACAATATTCGGCTCAATATTACAACCATATGTTCCAAAGAAAAGACCAGCAGTGTGAATGCATGTGGTAAAACGCTCTATCAATCACGAGGATTATTATTAATATTTGTAATGAGATGCTCATTTCAGATTTACAAATTACTGGCTGCTGAGATTTGACAGAAGCCATAAGTGAACTAATCCTCCAGTTTGGTACTGTGTACTCATGTGGGGATCACATGAGAAGTGAACACTGGCTATCACACCCTCATCAAATGAGTTTCATAGGGCTCAAGAGAACTCTAAACAAGCACAACCCTGAAACAACACAAGGAGGACTGCTGGTTTTATAGCAGTGTGCTGAACGAACTACAAAGTCATCCTGCTGTGCCCAGGCCAATTACATGATCGGTCTATGTCAAAGTACATCAGTGTATTACCAGATTATGGACTGGCATTAATCAACAATGGCCTACTTCAATCAGCCAAGTTCCCTCCTCCCCAAAACTCTGCCATTATGACAGTGTGGGAGTCCTAACATCCATCTCATTTGACAGACACTTCCCCTCACCTGTCTTGGTAGAACCGACTGAATGTTCGCCCTATGCAAGAGAAAGCTTTGCGCAGAATCAAATGGGATGCAGAAACTCTTCCTGCTTCTCCCTGGTAGTGAATGTTCAGAGTTGAGGATCCACATTGGCAGGACATGCTTTTCTCTCTATCTTGACATTTAACCACACAGCTGTAGCCTAATGGGTGAAGTAGTTGAACAGAATGAAGGCAACAACACTGTGGAGACATGAAAGACATCATAAATTTTAAATCTCAAGATTAAAACACACTAGAGATAGAGACAATAGAAATAAGTATTGGGTGGTATATGGGGAGGGGTGAAGAACTTCTCTATTGGTGAAAAACAAGTACAAATAAACTATGATGTGACCTAAACTTCTCTTCCTCCATCCAAATGTAAATTAATTAGGAACAATACCTATTGACATGGGTTTTGTTTTACAGCAATGTTGAATGCCCAGTTTTCTGTCCTACATCCATATTGTCAACAGAATTAAATACAATTTAAGCAAAGTATTGAGGGGAATTCTTCGCAGGCAGAACTTACAACTTTTAGCAAGATGCAAGGTTATGGTTAGAGAACTGGGAATCGTTCACGTGCGATTACCAAGTACTCCTGATTCCCTGCCCATGATGCCGAGAGAGATTTTTCCGCTAGATGGTGAATGCTCCTCAGAGTTCAAATATAGCTGAGGCAATGTACAAAGAAATCCATTCGCATATTACAATCGAAATGTTAGCTTTCATGATTATGATTAGCTTTTATATCTATTTGTACGGAATTTGGAGATTTTAAATACCCACACTTACCAGACTGTTTGGAATTCGAGGAAAAACTCTCTGTTGAAGACTGTGATCATCTGATCAAGACTCCTGACTACTTCTCCAAGTACTTCAGAGTTTTTGTTTTCTGTGGGTCTTTCTTCCTCCATGTCCTTTTTGAAGTGGCTTATGTGCTTCATACAATTCTGTAGCATGAACCAAATTTGGATTTTTGTGTAGCATCTTGAAGATCACTAAACATGCATAGTTTTGTCCTTCTAGAGTTGGTACCATGCACTATACAAGTATACTGTGTACTACAGAATTGTTTGACATGAATAAATAATTCACATAGAGTAAAACATACTCGATTTGTTTCCTTGTTCTCTTCATTATGTGCATTTATCGTTTCTACCACCACTGACATAAAATGTCAGTTATTCACATTTTTATTATACGTTAATGTTTGTAAAGTGCCTAAATGAAGTGGTAAACTGCATTATTTCAACTTCTAACTTTCTGAGTCATCTCAACATAGGCAGTACATTGAAATGCTATTTAATGAATAATCCAGTATTCCAATCATAAATTAATTACTACTATACTTGAAAACAGAGTATGGTACTTTAATGCAAATTAGAAATCTGTGTTAAACCTTTTTATAGTTTACCAAACCTCTTTATAATGAATGTTTAAAAATACCTGTTTTTTTTAAAAAAACGCAAGGTGAACTGAATACAACACTAAACATTGAACTTCAAATTAAAACAAATATGGTTCAATTGTCAGGTGGATGATCAAACCAGAAGAACAGGTGTGAGGTTGGTTATTTACTTTTTCACCTTCTCGCGACATCGAGCAGGTATATAATTCCAATAATTATCCCTTAAGGTGCCATAAATGAAGCTACTTGTCCACGTATAATCTCTTATGGGCACCACTGAGGTGTTCAACTTACAAGCTTCATGGTTTGTAACAATGATTGATGTGACTGTCAATCTTTCAGCTTTCCTCTGGCTGTAAAAGTCTAGTTAACTTCCACTAATAAAAACATCCCTTCAAAAACAGATTTTACCATTTCCACAATGGAGCAGGGATACAGAAAAATAAAACAAGGATTAGAGTAAAACAAAAAATAAAGCTAAAAGAAATGAGAATAGGAAAATAGTACTCTGGGGCAAGGATAAGTTAAGATTTAAGTCATTTATTTTAAATTTGGTCATTTACTTTAGGATATTACAGTAATACTATAGCTATTTTAATGTTTCAATTTTACTACAGCATTTGCTTTATTTACATTTCCAGTATCAGACATAGAACCAGTTGGCACAGAGAGTTGGGTGGAGTTGTCGGCAATCCAAGGAATAAAATGAGCCAAATGGTCTCATACTGTGTCATAAATTTCTATAGAGAACATTTAAAAATACACAAGGCTTCATGACAGAGCAAAAATGACATCGGTGATGCTTGATACACACAACAGACTGGTAGTGACATCCGCAGCACCTGATGATCTGTCCTGTTTCTGCACTTTTGCTTAGAATTGCAATGCTGAGACACTGGACCCAACTGGCCCCAAGCAACCGTGCTTACTGTAAACTGATCTGTAAAAGCCAACTGACAACAAACCCGAGCAATATTATTTTTGTTAGCACAACATCCTCCAGAATGTTGAAATGTTACCTTATAAACTTAGCTTACGTAGGTGTGAATTAAGTAAGATGACCTTGGCTTACTTCAATATTTGTTACACATCAATATTTTGATTATATTGATTTATACACCTACAAATGAAGAGACTGAAAACACTGAAGCACATTCCTGATATTCGGATTAGAGGTTACTTATTAAACCTTCTTTGAGAACGCAATTAAAAATATTATTTTCCCTACTTTGATCTGGAGCTGTAAATATATGCAACCGAATTACAACGCAGTCATTTCAGCAATGCTATTATAAGCAAAGCGCAGAAAACAACAACTTGCATTTATACAGCACCCTTTACGCCGGTTGGAGTCTTGTGGCGGACAGACATCCAGGTCATCAGGTTTTGCGGAAATCACTTCCAGCCTGTTGTGCACATAAAGCACCACTAGTAATTTTTCACTGAGTAACTTCAGCAAGACTTCTTGTGCTTAAGAAGTTGGTCAATGTTTTAGAACGGGAAGTTGGAGAGTAAGCACTAGAAGCTGTAGTTCGGGTCTACAGAACATCAGATCTATCAGTAAGGCATGAAGGGCATTACACAGAAGGGCTTTATAACTAGATTCCCAAGTACAACAAATTTTAAAAAATTGTTCCTAAAAAGACAGATTAACTATCAAAGAAGCCCTTTTCATTTCCAAAACAAGCACACATTTCACACAGGGCTGGAGGGCAACACGCCTTCACGTCTGACATTGAGGCGAAAAATGCAAGCTACAAAGTTCCTTTATCCACAGAATGTCGTTAGGATTTTTTTCCTGCACAATAGAAAAGTAAGTATGTCTCGCAGTAGAACCATTAGCTTGATATTTAATGCCAACAAGAAACAGAAAATAAAACAACCTCAAACCTCAAAACATTCAGCCTACAAATCTCAATGTTGCAGACTCAAAAAGTGAATAAGACCCTAATAGGTAAGTAATCTATCTTCATCTTTCTGCTGTACATTACTATGAAGACTGACTTGGCAGTGATTCAATAGGAGAGGGGTGGGGGACTCTTTTAACCTAGAAGAAATGCCACAGCACCCCACACGTGCCAAACTGTAAATCACCATTGAAGAACTAATCCAGTAATAACACTTTGTAAAAGTTATGCGAATTATTCCACATGGTTGATTTATAAAAACTCTCCACCAGAATATATTTGGTGTCAGACTGGCTCAGTTGATAGTACTCTCACCTCCGAGTTCAAGCCTCACGTCAGGACTTTGAGCTCACAGTCTAGGCCAACGTGTGGTTCACAGTCTTTTATCATCACAAGGTATAATCTTTCAAATGAGATGTTAAGCCTCAGTCCCCATCAGCCTGTTCAGGTGAAAGTAAAAATCCTGTGGCACTATTTGAAAACATAAGGGAATTTCTCCTGATGTTATGGCCCAACAATCCACCAGATAAAATTAGTAATCGACTTAATTGCTGTTTGTTTGTCCATAAATACAGTCACTACACTTTACTGTAAAATCCTATCAAGTGCTTTGGGATGTTTTGACACCTGATAAGGTACCATACTATTATTATTATTTGGAAGGTTTAGGAGAGTTTTTATTGACTGAGGTAGAGGATTTCCCAACCCAAACAACTTGCATTTATATGGTGCCCTTCACGTAGGAGAGCATCTTGGGAGTGCTGCACACTGATGGGGTTAGATGTCAAGCAAGGGAGAAGGAGGTGTCATGTCACAGATAGGGTGCGATCGAAGAGGTAAGTCTTCATGTGGGATTGAAAGATAAAGAGGGGTCAAGATTATGATGGCAAGGAGGGGTCGGGTGATTCGCAGCAGGCCTATAACAGCTGACTGAAGGTGGCTGGTAAAGGGGGGAGGTATGAGCAGGTCAGAGAGGTAGGGAGCTGCTTGGACATTTGAGGGTGACGTTCTTGAAGTTGACCTTTTCGAAGCTAGGAAAGGATTGGGGTGATGGCCATGCAGAGTTGATTTGGGTGAGGACCCAAATAACAATAGAAACAAATAATGTAGTGGGCTAGTTTCTACAGGGAGTTAATAATAATAGAGCCTGGTAACACGACAAGCTACAAACTAGTAAAAGAAGCTTTAAAATAGCATCAACAACCTTGAACGGAAAATGAAGACAAGGTCCAAGTTCAATTCACAACATTACACAGGGAAGGGAGACGTTAGTAGGAATTCCACTGATGCTACCATCAAAAGAGGTTTGACTACATTTTGAACAAGAGAAATTTGTGCAGCAACAACAGTAAACAACAGCTCCCTGAAAGAGTTTGTGATTAAATTCTGCGTGTTAAGTTAACTTGCTCTCTCTTTCACATTTCTGTTCATTCATATAGGACACACCATTGCTCAGATGCTAAAGCTAAAATCAGGTACAGTACAATTTACAAAGGACTTTTATCTAATAAACTGTTAATTGCTATGATTGCTCAAAATATGATCACTTTAACCTTAAAAGGAACAGACTCTTTTTCGCAATAAGGATTTGTCTGTAAATAGGATTGATTTCATCATTCAAATATGTCCCATCAATTTTCTTTATACTTTTATAACTGTTATCAACAGGAATTGTTTTCATTTCAATAGTTCAAATTTCAACTCAAATTAACAAACCATAGTTCAACTAACTATGTAAGTTCATACCGTACTCTTAAAACAGAAGTTTGGAACGCACATTTTGCTCAGGTTTTTTTTTGCATATTGGAGACGTCAAGCATCAAATTTAATAATTTTCCTTGGGAGCATTTGGTTTCATACAATAAAGTTTTGAGTTAATTTAATACCTAGTCCTACACGGAGTATCATAAGCTACCGTCAAGAACCAATGCTAAAAAAAGCATCACGGCAAAAATGGAAACATGCAGCTGATTGAAATATTGGTCAATTCAGAAATGTTGTGCTACAGATATAAAAACACCCAAATGGGACCTGATAATTGTCTAGAAGTGTAATCTCACTGTAGAAAAAAAAGAGTAGAAACGTATGTTCCAATTTTCAAACTGTCACTGACTTTGATTAATTAGCAAATGATTAATTTAACAATTCATATTGACAACAATGTTGTAGTTTAATATTTTGAGTTAGTAACTATGCTGCTTTTTTGGAGAACCTGCTTGATATTGTAAGTCTATTGGTTTACATATCGAGTCGTACAACCAATTTGGTGGGGTGAATTTGCTTAGAGCTCGATCAAAACCGTTGACACACAATTGGGTTAAATTAAGCAGCCACTTACGACCTATGTTTCATTTGTTTATCTGCTGTAACTTAATTCAAAGTATCATAGAATTATACAGCACAGGAGGTGATTTGGCCCATTGTGTCTGTGCCGCTCTTTGAAAAGAGCTTCCAAATCAATCCCACTTTCCCACTCTCGCCCCATAGCCCTGCAAACTTGTCCTCCCCAAATAATTATTTACTTCTCTCTTAAAAGTTGTTATCGAATCAACTTCCATCACCCTTTCGCGCAATGCATTCCAGATCCGAACAACTTGCGGTATGAAAAAAATTCTGCTTTCCTCCCCTCTTTTTCTTTTAACAACTATTTTAAATTGGTGCCATCGGGTTACTGACTCACCCACCAGTGTAACTAGGACTGAAAGAAATTGGTTACTCTGCCTGTGGAAAATGCATTGATTCGGGTTAAGTGTTGTTCTGCAAGTTTATTAATTCGGTCCCCGTGCATCTATAACTAAATGTAATAGGATTTAAAATTAACATTATATTTGTAATGGCCTGTTAGAATTGCCTTTAGGTCACATCAATGATTTGGACTTGGTCTTTCTATGTTCCTTCAAACTCATCCCTTAAGGTTTATTTTTGAATGCTATTAAATCAGAATCAGATCTAGCACTAAAGTTCGCAATAAATTTATTTTTCCACTTTAACGCACTTGTTTGATCAAAATGCTTAGGGTTAAGTTGAGAATATGGCTACACACCTCTAGCTTACATGTACAGTACTTAAAAATAGCGAGAATTTTAGATATGTCAGGGCCGGAACATATCCTTAATTGTAATATTCATACAATTTAAATTTAACTAGCACTTGCTTAATAGTTAACTGCGCACGTTTATCATTATCATAACAACATATGAAAAATAGTCTCATACGAGTGTACGGCTATCGAGTTTGGGCGGCTTGTGTTCATACACATCCAATGAATTAGCACTGACAGCATTCCTCTGAGAACCGAACAAGCTTCTCTTCTCAGCAAAACAAATCAAGAAGTGAAAATATACTGACCAAACGAGCTAAACACTCCGATCAGTTTAGCTCCTCCAGTCGATAAATTTCATGTTTAAATGCTGCCTCAAGTCGTGGAGCATTTACAAAGTTTCCAAAACCACTTTAGTTGGTTGAATTTTTTTAAAATCTAGATTTATAATCCTCAAACAAAATGCGTCTTTTTCTTTATTCCTTGTGTACATGCAGGTTTAAGGAAGCTCTCGGTTTAATAAAAAGCGAGCAAAGAAAAAGCAGTCTGACTTAAAATGAATAAAACAGCAACTGATTTGTTTTTTTTTAAAAAGAAAAGAACATGAGTTTACGGTGAATAAAAGGAGACTTAGTTTCCCCCTCAAAAAAACTAGAACTTATTCTCAAAATGATGGAAACACTGCAGCGTTGAAAAAGTTTGCAAAACGGTTCCAAACCATCTATCAAAGGGGTGTGCATGTCTGAGTGAAGGATGCTCTGATATAAAAGGACATGGGAGGGGGGAAAAGGAGAGAATCTTGCTTGTTATTGATAAAACGGCGATATATGGTGTGTAAATATAATGTAAAATGTAAAATAATGTAAAAACTTAAATATATGTAAAAAAACAGACAGGTTACAAACACAATAACATGCAGTGAGAGAAATAAATCCGCTCAGCAACAATTCTCAAGAAAGCCCCACCAACTCTTATTTAATATCAATAACCTTCCAAAAATAATTATAATAATGTGGTCACTCAATCCATGACTGTTTGTGGGACACTGCTGTGCGCAATTTCGCCCGCAAAATAATACTTGCATTTGATACAGCGCCTTATCAGATGTCTCAAAATGCTTCACACAATATACTGTAATGTGAATTGACGCGGCAGCCAATTGCGCGCAGCAGTGTCCCACAGACGTGGATTGAGTGACCATTTTATTTATTTATTTTCTTTTGAAGGGATTATTACCCCCGGAAAAGCGATCCGCCAATTGACTAACAACCGGGATCCTACTCACTGCTCGTTAAACCAAACCGAGACTTGTGGAGTAAGGAAACTTGCCCAACGTTTCGCCCTGCCCGGGAATTGTAACCCAGGTCTCTTGGCTTGCGAGGCGAGTGCTCTAACTACTGAGCGACAGGACACTTTAAAGTATATTCTGTGAAGCGCTTTGAGACGTTTCAAAGACGGAATAAAGCTCTATATCAATTGCAAGAATTATTAATATTATCATCGCCCCCATCAAAATGCCACAACTGACATCCGATTGCAATGCTTTTCTTTTTAAAGAAGCGATCCAGATTTGCAGAAGCATCTCTCCTCTCCTTCCCGTCCCCTATGCACCAGCATTGCTTTCCTTTTTGCCTGTTTTGCCTGGTGGGTGGTGAGGTTTTGTTGAGAATTGTTCCCGATTCTCAACCACCCCACCCCGCTCGTCCTCAAACAAACTCAACGACTTTCTCAACGTTATTTTCTTTGCAACGTGTCTGTGTGTGTGTATTATATATAACTGACATCCTTCAAGCAGACACTCGCATATCATCTCCTTTTGCGGGTGGTTTACAAAACTTTTTGAACACGGGGCAGTGTAATGGGGGGGGTGTGGTGTGTGTGTGTTCCCTTCATAATTTTCAGAATAAGAAATTGATTGAGAATTCTTCTCGATGCCTCAACAACAACATCCCCCACACCACCCCCCCCCCACACCAAACCCCCACCACACAAACAAACTCAACAATTTTATCCACATACACCAAGTGACAGTGAAGTGCGGCGCCGGTTAAAAGTTTGTGGTAGTGTGCGGGGGAGGTTGTTGGGAATTGTTGAGTAGTCTGTTGTGGGGGGTGGTTGAGTCTGTTGGGGGGGGGGGGGGTGTTGAGTTTGAGGAGGGGGTGTTAAGTTTGGGGGGGGGTGTCGAGTAGTCAGGGGGTGGAGTGTCGAGTAGTCGGGGAGGGGGTTCTGTCGAGTATTCGGGGAGGGGGTGCTGTCGAGTAGTCGGGGAGGAGGGGTGCTGTCGAGTAGTTGGGGAGGGGGTGCTGTTGAGTAGTTGGGGAGGGGGGTTCTGTCGAGTAGTCGGGGAGGGGGGTTCTGTCGAGTAGTCGGGGAGTGCTGTTGAGTGGTGGGGAGGGGGGGGTGCTATCGAGTCGTCGGGGAGGGGATGCTGTCGAGTCGTCGGGGAGTGCTGTGGAGCGGTCGGGGAGGGGGGTGCTGTGGAGCGGTTGGGGGGAAGGGGTGCTGTTGAGCGGTTGGGGGGGAGGGGGTGCTGATGGGTGGTTGGGGGGAGGGGGTGCTGTCGGGTGGTTGGGGGGGGAGGGGGTGCTGTCGGGTGGTTGGGGGGGGAGGGGGTGCTGTCGGGTGGTTGGGGGAGGGGGTGCTGATGGGTGGTTGGGGGGGAGGGGGTGCTGTTGGGTGGTTGGGGGGAGGGGGTGCTGTCGGGTGGTTGGGGGGGGGGTGCTGTCGGGTGGTTGGGGGGGAGGGGGTGCTGTCGGGTGGTTGGGGGGAGGGGGTGCTGATGGGTGATTGGGGGAGGGGGTGCTGATGGGTGATTGGGGGGAGGGGGTGCTGATGGGTGGTTGGGGGGGAGGGGGTGCTGTTGAGCGGTTGGGGGGGAGGGGGTGTTGGGCAGTGGGGAGTGATGAGCAGTGGGGTGGGGGGGGTTGGGCAGTGGGGGGGGGTGTGTTGGGCAGTGGGGGGGGGGTGTTGGGCAGTGGGTGGGGGGGTGTTGGCAGTGGGGGGGGGGTGTTGGGCAGTGGGGGGGGGGGTGTTGGCCAGTGGTTGGGGGGGGGGTTGGCCAGTGGGGGGGGGGGGGGGGTGTTGGCCAGTGGGGGGGGGGGGGGTGTTGGCCAGTGGGGGGGGGGGGGGAGCACACATCACAGCGACAGTGCGGGAGACTCACCGCAGGTTGTACTGTCCGTCCATCCAATGCTCGAGCTCCACCTTGATGTGGCGGCCGGTGGCGGTGGCGGCGGCGGCGGCGGGGAGGTGGTGGTGGTGGTGGTGATGGGCCGCTCCCCGCTCCAGCAGCCCGGCCGGGTACCAGGGCGAGTCGGCAGCCACCATCAGGCCGTCCTGCAGCGCCAGAGCCGGCGGCCCGGCCCGGGGGTAGTCGGTGTACGCGGCGGTGGCGGGTAGCGGGTACTCGGCGTCCCCGCCGCCGCCGCCCTTGTCCGGGTAGTGCCAGGGCGGCCTGGCGCTGTACAGCCCGCACTCCGTGTAGGCGCACTGCGGCCCGAAGCCCTTACAGCCGCGCTCCGGCCCGTCACACTCCTCCACCTCGGTCTTGATTTTCACGGTGCCCAGCGGCAGCCCGAACCCGGGCGGCGGGCGCTCCCTGTCGGCCGCGCTGTACAGGCGGCCGCTCTCGGCGGCGGCGGTTGACGGCGGCGGCGGCGGCGGCTCGAGCCCCTCGTAAGCGGCCGTGACAGAGCCGCGGTACATCCCGGGGTAGCGGCACAGCTCCTCCCCGCCCGCCGCCGCCTCCTCCGCCGCCGCCGCCGCCTCCTCCTCGTGTCCTCCTCCGCCGCCGCCGCCGCTCTCCTCGGCGCCCTCCCCGCCCGCCCCGGGGCAGCCGGAGCCCCTCCGCGGTCGGTAGCTGACGATCGCCATCCCCTCGGGATCCTCGGCTCCCGCCCTCCGCCGCTTCATGAGGAGGAGGCGGCGGCCGCTCGCGGTGGCGGCGGCGGCGGCGGCGGCGTCGTCCGGCGAAGGCGGGAAGGCGAACATGCAGTCGCTGTGCGGCGCGGGCCCGGGCCCGGGAGCCGAGGCGGAGGCGGCGGCCGAGGGCAGCGGGAAGGGCTCGGGCAGGTCCGCCGTGTCCAGGTTCAGCCCCATGGACACGGACACGGCTTTGCACAGCTCCCGGGCCGTGTCGCTGCTCAGGGAGTAGGTGCGGTGGCCGCCCTCGGGACCGGGACCGGGACCGGAGCCGCCGCCGAGGAACGGCCCGTGATCGCTCTCGGAGAAATAATCCTCGGGCTCGTCGAAGCCGCCGCGGTTCCCTCCTCCTCCTCCCGCCGCCGCCGCCGCCGTGTTGAACAGCGCTCGGATGACGAACGGCGCGTGTCCGGCCGCTCCCTCCAGGCCCAGCATGGCGGCCCGCGGGTGGCACGAGGCGTCCGAAAAGGCGCCAACCCCCTCCCTGCCCGAGAACAGCCCTCCCCCGCCCCCGCCCCCGCCGCCCGCCGCCTGGGGGCCCCCGGCGCTCCCCGCCCCGCCCCTCCCGGCAGCCGGTGCCTCGTACCGCCCCAGGGAGTGCTCCCGCGCACACGCCGCCGCGTGGAAGGCGCGGGGCAGCGCCTGACTGTCGAGCGACGGCAGCACATTGTGCCCTCCACTGAAGCACTCCATCTCCATCCGCCCCGTCTGTCTGTCTGTCTGTCTGTCTGTCTATCTGTCTGTGTGTCTCTGTCGATCTGTCTGTCTGTGTCTCTGTCTATCTGTCTGTCTGTCTGTCTGTGTCTGTCTATGTGTGTGCGTGTGTCTCTGTCTATCTATCTGTCTGTGTGTCTGTCTGTGTCTCTCTGTGTCTGTCTGTGTGTGTGTCTGTCTGTCTTGTCTCTCTGTGTGTCTCTGTGTGTGTGTCTGTCTGTCTTGTCCTGTGTGTGTGTCTGTCTGTCTTGTCCTGTGTGTCTGTCTGCCTTGTGTGTCTGTCTGTGTGTGTGTCTCTGTGTGTGTCTGTCTGTCTTGTCTCTCTGTGTGTCTCTGAGTGTGTGTCTGTCTTGTCCTGTGTGTGTGTCTGTCCTTGTGTCTCTCGGTCTTTGCGTGTGTGTGTCTTTCTTTCTGTGTGTGTGTCCTTGTGTGTGTGTGTGTGTCTGGGTCTGTGTGTGTCTCTCTGTGCCCGTCTCCTGTGCTTGTCTGTGTGTATCTCTGTATGCCTGTGTGTGTGTGTGTGTGGGGGGGAGTGCGCCTCTCTCTGTGTCTCTGTGTGTCTCTGTCACTGGTGTCTCTGTGTGGTGGTGGGGGGGGGGTCTCTGTCTCTCTCCCCCTTTTTTTTCTTTGCAAATTTAAAATTAAATTATTGTCCTTTTCTTACTATCAAAATGCCACAGTTGACAACCGATTGACTGCGATGCTCCTCCCCAGCCCAGACCTGCACTCTCTCACCCCCTTTCCCTCCCCCAATGCACTTAGCACCGCTTTTCTTTTGGCTTTTTGTAAACAAAAATGAGACTTCCCCCCCCACCCCCCACCACAACTACCCTTCCCTCCCCCTCCTCTCAAATGCAACATGTAAATAACTTTTTACATAGTTCAGGTAGATATTGCAACCTCGTGTGTAGTTCCATTTGCAGCTCAAACCCGGAGTAACATTCCTCTCTTCCCTGTCTGCACTCTCACCTCTCTCTCTCTCTCTCTCTCTCCTTCGTCCCCTCTCCACACACCACTGCGGCCGTTAATAAAAGCTATTGCGAGCAATTTATACCTTAAACCCCTCTGTATTTCTCGTCTGAAGCACTGTCTAAGGCACAATATCGAAGCACAATCTCACGGGTTTCCAACTCCTTCAGTGAAGACGGCCCCCAATTCGCGTTGCAAACCGTTGCCTTCCCCTCGGGGGCTGTTCCCCACTTCTCTCCAAATCGCTGCTGCAGTCAGTGGTCCCGGTCTCAGGAGTTCGGTTCCAAATCCCGGGGTAGTTTTTCTCTCCCCCCCCCCCCCACCCCACCCCTCCCCACTCTCTCTTCCGTTCAAAACTTCCAAGTGTTTTTCCACCCAGTTGCATTTGCAGACATATTTTTTCCAAGTGCACACAGTGGACTCTGCTGGTCAGCCCCACGCGAGACGAGGAATAAGACGATGGAGAGGAGTGAAGTCTTCAGAGGCTTTCTCTCTGAGTTGGAAGGCAGTTGAGCTTCAGTGGGTTGGCTGAGGTGTAAATAGCTGAGACGCAGCCATGGTGTAGGGAGAGACAGACGCACATTGAGCGCAAATAAACGAGTGGGCAAAAGTGAAAGTGCTATCTCGCTTTTCTTTTGTCGCTCCGAAATTCGGCTGAAAACCCAAGCAACCGGCAACTCCGGGGGTCTCCGGGGGTTACTGTATCTGCAGGAATCCACAGAGAGGGAGAGAGAGAAAGAGGGAAGCGAATGAGGCGAGAACTCCCCCCCCTCTCTCTGTCTGTCTGTCTGTCTCGGCTTTGCTCAAAGCAGAGGAAAACAGTTAAATGACTTAAAACAACAACTTTCAAGGGGAAAAAAATAGCTTTTTTTAGGGCAGCAGGTGGTTCATATATATATATATATATATATATATTAAAAAGCAGTCCGGCTCTGTGGCTGATTGCACAGAAAGCTACTCACAAGCCCCTGTACAGCGAGAGACGGTCAGTCCCGATCAGCTGCTGGTGGTAAAGTACAACCCACAGGTGGGAAAAAACTCTCTTCAATCCCCGCACAGAAATCCCGCAGATTTGGTACAATCCAGGACCAGCCACGCAAACCTCCACGCACAGCTGCAAACTCCTCTCTTCCTTCTTTCTCTCCCTCTCTCCCTCTCTGTCTGTCTGTCAAACCTCCACTGCTGCTCTTGAGTCCCCCCTCTGCTCCCCCCCGCCAGCCTGGTGTGGGGAGTGCAGGGTTTGTCTCGAGAGGGAGGGGGGAAAACCCTATCCAGTCCCGCACCCGCCTCCAAACCGAAGCCGGCAACGCCTCACCTCTTATTAAATATTAAACCCTTTCCCCCAAACTTTGTTTTTATATATATATATACACAGAATATAAACTTGTAACTTTCAGACGCAGGGACCTGCAACACTCACTCACTCACTCACTCCCACTGCTCTCTCTCTCTCATCTGCTACCACCCCCCCCACACACACACACCCACACCCACACCCCCCCCACACACACACCCACTCCCCCCCACACACACACCCCCAGACACCCCACCCCCCCACACACACACCCCCACACCCCCACAGCCCCAGACACCCCACACCCCCCCCACACACACCCCAAACACACCCCCACAGCCCCAGACAACCCACACACACACCCACCCCCCCCGCACACACACACACCGCACCCCCCCCACCCCCCCACACACCCCCACACACCCCCCCCCCCCCCACACACACCCCCCACACCCCTCTTTGTTGTGCTGCTGTTGGTGAGATACAGAGAGAGATGGAGACAGATTCGGGTTAATGCGGTCAGAGGGCATCACTCAGTGCATCTGATATCTGATCCGCTCACAAGTCCCGACTGTCCGCTCTTCAGGTGTTTTGGGGTCTTACCGTGGGCTGTGCTGCCCATCACAGGGACACGGACACAGAGGGGTAACTGATTCTTCTCGCCTCAGATTTACCCAATACTCACAAAGAAAGAAGGGAATGAAAGGAGGAACACAGAGAGAGATGGGAATCTGGGATCTCAGGAACCTAAGGCTGCACCGTGTTCCTGAAATCCCACTCCCGGCGATGCCGACTACTCCTTTCTTATTTCGGTGCATCAGCATTGCGGAGTGAGTGGAGGGAAGGCACAGGGTCTGTACCGCTTGTGTACAGGTATCTCTTCCCGGGGGTAAACCAGGCTGCCAGATACCCGGGAATATTCCCGATTTTTTTACAACAACCACAACTTGCATTCATATAGCACCTCCACACAGGGGGTGGTTATTGGTCAGATGTGCCACCTCCCTCCCCTGCACAGCAATTGCAAGTTAAGCACTCTTTGCCCATCACTCCTCTCCCCCCTCCCCCCACACATACACACAGACTTTTTTTGCAATTGTTGTGCCCATAATGATAGGGGAATAGAACACTCTTTCCCTTTGCAAATCCATTGTCTGCTTCAAACTTTCTGGGTCCAGCAAACTCCCAGGTCAGGGTTAGCGAGTCAGTAACGCTCCCTCTACACTGTGCGCCCACACTCCCAGGTCAGGGTTAGCGAGTCAGTAACGCTCCCTCTACACTGTGCGCCCACACTCCCAGGTCAGGGTTAGCGAGTCAGTAACGCTCCCTCTACACTGTGCG